TTCTGGGCCCCTGGACCTGCCTTCGGCTTCCCAAACATTTAATCTACTCTTCATTCCGTCAATGCAAGTGAAATGTTTGTTGAATCATTCAAATCGGATACTTCGTTTTTCGAAAAACTGAATTGGCAGTTTTTGTACTTTTTTGTCCCTTATCTTTGAAACGGCTTTAATAATAATAACAAATGCTATTTAAGGACACACTAAAAATCACTTTTTTATATTAATAATTTTTTTAATCGGAATTGCGGACTTTTTATAAGAACTTATATGTAATACTTTTTTATATACGTTTTATATCCGTTTTTCTCGCTTTGGGCCTTGTATAACAATCTATTCAATTTTCTTTTTAATTAAGGGGGTATTCTAGTGTAGAGCAATGAATTTTAGGTTATTTTTAAAGTGGCGTAAAAGAAAGCAATGAATGTTTTCACTATCCATTTTTTTACAACTTGTTTATTAATATTATTAAAAGACAAAACAAAAATTAAAAAATAAAAAAGTTGAAAATTGTAGAAACTGGCAGCTGATGAAGTGGATGGTGTCAAAAAATTGGCACCTCAGTCTTGACATGATTTCAGCCCTCCTAGCATTCGGAAATGCAAAAAATAAAAAGATTATTAATCTACAATGATGTCGCAATCGCCCGAACTAGCGACGAGTAAAATTTTTTTTTTTACAAATTGGCGACTATTTGAAAAAAAGTGTTTATTTTACTATTTTTTGAGTTTCTAGAATTTTTTAAAAATAGTAAAAATTGGAATTTGGGGATAATCCTAGTTCGGGCTATAGATATGTCTATAAACAAGACTCTCTGAACATTTCAAGTGAATCGGTCGATTAAAACTCGAGAAAACGTGTCAACAGTACTGAAAAAGTCTGTTCTGAGAAAAACGCATTTAATGTTTTGCGTGAAGCCAAACCAGTATGGAGACCGTAAAATGCCTATATCTCCGAAAATAATTCAAATTTTCAAAAACCTTTTCGTACCCATATTCGTAGATAGTTAAACTTTGAAAATATGAAATAAAAAAATCGATTTTTTTGAACTTCTACACTAGAATACCCCCTTAATTTGATTATTTTTACAATTTTTGTTAATTCACCAAATCGAGGCGTATTATTGGTATAGAATTTTAAAATGAAACATTTATATAATGAGGGAAATCTTACATTGAAATGTGTTAATCTATGAATACATATAATATAATCAGACAACTTTGTTTGAAATATTTCTAGCGATTTTATTAATATTCTAATATTCCCTCAATAATGTTGATTACTAATGAATTTATAATAATCGATTATTCAATGTATCCCAATCACTATGGAGTCCGCGCGCCTGCCCAGTGCCCAGCAAAAACGACGAGGTGTGATCCCCAAGCGTTACACAGTAAAACACTTTAGCGCGGGCGCCAGTTACCTGGCCGCGATGGCCGGTAACTGGACGCCATGGACGGTATGCGACACATGACGCCGTAAGGACGCGACACCCGAAACAATAAATGCATCTATCGAAATAAAAACCTATAACGTCTCAGCTAAGCGCTCATCGGAAGATTTATAGCTGGTCTACTACAGCGTTGACTCCGGAGTCAGAAAAAAATGAACTCATTTAAAACGTTTTTTTTACATACAAAATTTATCGCCTAACTGACGTGCACTAGATTTTTCGCCATGTCCGGCCACCTATGTCGGTCATTATTTATGTCACCTTAAATAATTAGGATGTTGTTATTGCGGATGCTGATGTTAACTGACGCCAAAAGAAGGTTCATTGAGGATAAAGAAATTTTATATTAAAAAACAAACTTGCAAGTAGCATTTCAGCCTTGCCTTCAGGCAAGTTGTATGAACTTATCTATACGTATACATAACCAACCTAATAAATAAAAATTGAGATTAAGGTACTTAGGTAATGTTCAACTGTTTAGGGGACGTCAATACTCATCACTGTTATTTCGTATTCTAAAAATTATATTTTATTTAAGTGTGGACTTCAATTGTAATCAGCAGGCATCTACAAAACACCACAGACCATACATACATATGCTTCGGCACAGATTCTAATTAGAATGGGTCAATTTTCAAGAATTTTTGGAACCTCCCCCCAAAATTACCTTTCCATCGATAAAGAAATATCAATATTTAATCATTTGTCAAAGATTTCAACACGGTTCCAAAAAAAAAACTAAATCAACTAGTTGTAAGTAACATTATCAGCTATGCCTTTAGGCAAGTTGTATGAACGTATACATAATCAAAATAATAACTAAAAATTGAGATTAAGATACTTAGGTAATTTTTAACTGCTTAGGGGACGTCAATTTTCAAGGATTTTTGGACCCCACCCCTTAAAATTATCCTTCCCTACCCAATATCTCTTGTATTTCTCTTTCTTCTAGAAAAAATCATTAAATTTTTAGAAATTTTTGATTTTTTTTCAAATTCATATAAAAAAATGAAAATTCATGATATCTTACAAGACCCTCCCCCCCTCCTTCCACTATTGCTATTTCCAGATTTTTTGACAAAACCCTTTCACACTTTTTAAGCCTCAAGTGATTAATGGACGACCCTTATTTTGCATTTACTAAAAAATAATCAATACTATTTCCAATTGATATTTCTGAAGTATACATGAAATATCTGTAATTGTATGAACTAAATTAATTTGCTTAACACTTTATTTCATCTGTAAAACAAAAAAAAATTGTTTTAACTATTTCGTATTCTAATCATGTTTCATATTTTTTTTAAGTGTGGACGTCAACTGTAATGAGTAGGCATCTAAGAAACACCACAGATCGTACATATGCTTTGGCACAGATTCTGATTAGAATCACTCAGGTGCGATATTATAAACTTTGATGAATTTTTATAATTGAACCGCTTATCGTAGGCCTATAATATTTTAGTATGTTATTTCAGACTACCAAATGAGTATACAAAGTACACAAATTTATGAGTAGGTATACAAATTGACAAAGAAAATTCAATAATTAATTATGAAGAAATGGCCTGACCGATCTTTACCAAAAAGTGATCAACACGATTCCCAATCAATATCTTTAAAACAGATTTTAAAATCGATTTAAGATTGTGGGCTAAAACGTGGAAGAACATTTTTACACTTTGTTGCTAATTACAGAAAAACGGCTTGGCTGATAGTCGCACCAAACTGACAAACGGTAGTCCTTATCGAGCTACTTCGAATGGCTTTGAATTCTTGAAATCGGTCGAGCCGTTTTTAAAAAAACGTCGAAGAAAGATCAAAAATGGACTATATACACGTTAGTTGAATATGATATTCTCAGAAAAACTCTAGATTCATATAAATTTAATGAATTGTGTCATAAAATATGAAATACAGCTAACATTTTGTGTAATTTAATTAAAAATCGTAATGAATACTAGAAGATCTATGATAGACATGTTCAAATCAGTGATATCTTGAGACCAAAGAAACTAACATATTTTATTATACTAACATTTCTAATATAAATTTCTACCAAGCTTATATTAATTCTAAGTGTGCACTTGACAATAGCCTTTGCATTAAGACGAAGCATTTATTATTCATTCTTTAAAAAAAAACGGACTCAAGATGAAATTCTTAGTAAAACACTTATTTCATATAATTTGCTTAAGTAAAAAATTAATAATATAGAGCAATATTTGTAGAGCACTTAATGCATCATATTTGTACAATCGTTATCAGTTCAATAGGCTGTCGATGAAGAAATTAATAAGCATTGTAAACATACACGTTTAAATAAATAGAACGATTGAATTTCAACATATAAATGGCCATTGTTAATAAGAATTTGTTGTGTAACTAAATCCCTACATATAATGAAATATAATGCAAATTTTCCTGTTACAAATTTCGTAAAGAATTTAGTGATTCTTAAAATGATATGCAAGACTCTTGTTTCTTCCCTTTTGAGAGGAGATTTTGTAAGTTTCCTAGATATGGTTAAAAAAATTATAAAATTCCTGCCTTTGGCGAAAGCCGATATAACAAAATTTACTTTCACAAATTTTGTAAAAAAATGTGATTTTTAAAATAATATTTGAAACATTGCAATTGTAGTTATCTCCCCCCTTGGGAGAAGTTCTGCGAATAATGTTAAAATTTCCGAAAAAACGTAATTTTTGTACAATTTTTTTCTCTAATTATTTTAGCATTAATTATTTCTTAAGATCTCAGTAGATCTGGACTTTTTTAAATCTTATCATTGTTAGATATAAATCTTTTTGAACAAGTGTTTTGAAAATAAGATATGACATCTTTGACTATAAGTCACAGCAAATAAGGCTATAAGTGCAAAATAATCAATAAAATTTCCCAGGGTCATAGGTTTAGTTAAGTCATAGGTAAATAAATCAATAAGTCTATATTACGTAATTACACATGAATTAAAAAATCTATAAAATAAATTATGCTAAATATACTGAACTTTGTTTCATACTAGACAAATGATCCTGTTTTAACTGCTTTTAAGTACGATAAATAAAACAGAGAAATTTTTGGTTTTACGTTTGTGATATTGAAATTAAATTAATTTCAAATTCGTTTAGACATTTTCATTTTATGTATAATTTTTTTATACATAATTTGTTCCAATTTTGGGACTATTTTTAAGATATATTAATAATCGGACGAGAACCGGTATACTCAACATGGTATGATTCGTCGTGGCGAAGATCGTTAACGGCAATATGACATCGGGCAGCGCGATGTCCATTTTCAATTGAAAATATAGATCAAAAATATGTTTCCAATTGAAAATAAGCTTAAGGGTACTGCGGTGTGAAATGGCAATGGGATATCTCTCGCACATTATTCTCTGAATCGAGTTGGAGTTTAACTCAGCTCACGGACCTGCCCTAGGGCAGCACACCCATTATTATTATATTAATAATAATTTCAATATATTAAATTTAGATTATAAAAAATTATAATAATTTTATAGATTAAAATTATTTTTTTCCCCCAGATTACTAGTGTCAAGAATGGAAGCGACGGGACAGCAAGAAGCGGTCTCGGCTCCAAAATCGGAGCCGTCCAGTGCCGCAGGTTCTCCTCAACATCCCCAGGAGCAGATCAGAAATAATAACAATAATTTGGAAGAATTGCAAGAAAATAACGGATCTCCTCAGAAGAACGAACAATTGGAATATCCAAACACTGTCATCACATTGAGGAGACAGCCGCAGGTTGTAAGGACCATAACTACTGCTGGACATATTACAACAACATGTGCTACTCCTGATCGTGAAGATGCACAACATGTGGTAAATAATGAAAATTTTAAATTAATTTAATCATTGGCAAAGGAAAGAAGTTTTATATTTAAGCCCCCTAATCATACTTTTTTTTACCAGCAATCAGAATCTAATAGTTCTATAAGGGTTGGCTAATTTTTGACTTGACATCAGTCTGTTTGATAGATGGCAACCCAATAAGTTGCAAATAAAATCACGTTATTAAGAAATCATTATAACAAATTAATAAAACTTATAAAAGGTCTGAGGCCAGTTAATTAATATAAAAAGCTACTTTTTAGTATGTCTATTGTGTGTATTTTTTAATATCTCTATCAATTCCATAGGAAACATTAGCAAATTTTTAACTTCCCGTAAGGCAAGTTATAGTAATCGCAAAACAATCGAAAATAAAAATTTTTATATATCATTTTGGCATACCTTAGAAAAAATGAATGTATGTGTGTGTGTGTGTGTTTGGATGCAAATTTTCGTCGACGATTTCGGGAACACGGATGAAGCGATTTGATTCATCAGATTTGAATTCAAAGAACATTCGATTTGTATTGATAAGGAGACGTGCTGATTAATTTTTGGCAAAGGCAAGTCTAGCCGTTCCGAAAATATGAGGCAAAAAGTGCCAAAAAACGGTAATTCAGTTTTTAAGAGAACGGAGCGACCGATTTGAATAATTCAAAATTTTACTTATATTAACAAAATGAATAAGTAATCGAATTTTCATGAAGGTAGGTCTAACGGTTTCGGAGATCTAGTAAAAAAAGTAAAAAAAAAATGCCATTTGGCGGTCAAAAATGATCATTAGACATATGCACATCAAATTATTAAATATTTTATAGAGATTTTAACAATAAGTATAAATTTTGTTTACATTCCTATGGGTTATTCCGTACCAATGCTTATCCGTTAGATGGCGACGCGGCGCATACGCGCTTCGATATTTCGTCTCTATGCAGTTAGTTAAAGCAGTACGATTGCTTTGAAAAAAAGTTTAGAATTTCCAAAATATTTCAAAATACACTTTTCTTCAAAAAATCTTTTTTTCAGAAAAAAAGTAAATTTTTGTCAAAAATTTATAGTTTCTCAAAAATCTAATTTTTCAGAGTAATTTTTTTTCAAAAATGTTTATATTTAAAACAAAAAAATTTGGTACAGGAAGTTCCAGCAATTGCCTTAAGGCGCGATGCCATGCGCCCCACTAGTTTTATAATATATTATATATTATTTCAGAGAGATATTCCAAAATCAGAGCCCTATGAACAATCAATACCGAGAAGTCACTACGAGTACAACAATGAAAATACAACAGAACACGAAACATTGATTACAGTTGCCGAAAGTTACAGTCCGTCCGCGTCTCAACAACAAACGAGCAATGAACAACAACAACAACAATCTTCAAATGAATTGCAATATACGAGTTCAGAACGGAAATACGCTCCACAGGAAAGGTAAAGATAAACATTTTGATTTACAACTGCTTTATTATTGACCAGAAGACGTCAAAAATGTAGCAAACCAAGAATAATCTGTATGGTATGATTTCTGGAATGCTGGAAACTAAAACATAACATGATTTTAATTTATTACTTTAACAAGTTAATCGCCACTATATCAGAAAAAAAATTACGTAAACCTTGGTAGTTTTATTAGATAATTATGGGTGATTTTGCCCTAAAATAGACCAATGGCAAGGTTATGTTATGCAGCAATTTTCATATAAGGTGGTACTAAAAACTAACAAAATATTATGTGGTTGCTGTGCATTCAGGTGTTTTAGATAGAAAACTTAACCTAGAAACCGCAAAAATTCGAAAAAAAAAAACTATATTATTGTAACTGGATTTTTGAGATATGACTTGATAACATGTGAGTCAAGTTGCATGACAGTATTTAGTAGCATTTTGTATGAAAACTAGAACGTAGCATAGCCGTGTTATAAATTTGGTCTATCTTACGGCAGAATCGGCCCATTGATCTATCAAATTTTTTTTTTGCCAAAACTCCTGGAAACACACTATTTTTCAAGTCATATATAAAGGCCTATGACCCTATATTAAAACTTTTTCTTCAAAACTAGTATGTAAAAATAATGCTAAAAATTGAAAATTGTATTAAAAAATCATAAAAAAAAATTATACGAATGTTACAAACCGACACCACAATTTTTAAATTATAATCTAATAAATAAATCATCTAATAATTTAACAATATCGATTTCCAAAAGATTTCTAAATTCAATTCATTGCATACAGGCGTTTGTTTACTTCAGTGTTATTATGCAACACAATTCAACCTCGACCTCGACAAGGTGTTGGAATGGTGTGAAAAATTAATTTTAACTAATACGGCTACTGTATTTTTATAACTATATTTTAAATTAACACGTTTTTTGCTATGCTAGTCATGTGTCTCTGAAGCTGAAAAATTCTACATGAGCAGAAGGAGATAAATAGTGTCTGTCACATATGTGTGACATGAAAAATAATGTTTTTCCAAAAATTTTGGCAATTTTTTTTCTTTGATACATCAAGTTTGCTTGATACATTTTTAATTAAATTATCTAATAAAATAACTTTTTAAAGAAATATTTTTTTATATTGCCATTCATGGCAATTAACGTGTTAAAAGACGCTGGGTTCAAAAATACAGGAAAAAACATCAATTTATATAACTACCCCAATTGTGGTAAGAATCTGGCTTTGTAATTATAAAATCCCGCTCTCAAGTCAACGTTTCGGACAACCTGATATAAAGCAGTAGTCCTATCTATTTCCACTTCAAAATGAAGATCTAAATATGTTTTCAAGTAAAAATAACACTTTCTGGCACACTTTCATTGTGATTAGAAAAAACAACCATTGGGCAGTCTTTAATATAAAAACATCATCAAGAGATAAGACAACCATTGGGTTGTCTTCTAAAAAGCGACGTAGTTTAGAAGAAGTATCATTGCAACAGATCGTCAAGAGGGCGTCCATTAATCACGTGATCGATTTTTGAAGGATTTGTTTACCCTCCCTCCCCCTTGGTGATATGTGAAAAAAAAGGTAAAATATACGATTTTTATCAGCTAAAAAATTAATACACGTGATATCTTACTATACCCCTCCCTTCCCACGTGATACTTGGTAATTTTTTGTCCAACCCCTCTTTCCCTTAAAAACCTCACGTGATTAATGGACGCCCCAAAAACTCCTTGATCTTAATTGTTATGCAAATGAATTGAAAAATTGGTTAAAAAGTATACAACAAAAGTTCTAGTTGGAGTCTCCGTATAATTGCATGATTTATAAAAAATAGGTGGGGCTTTTTCTTCATCATGATATATGATTTTTAGAACATCATCAAACTTCAAGTTCAGAGCGTTTAAATTAATAACTTTTAGAATAGATATCACCAAATAATAATTAATATCCTGATTCTGATATCTAATACCAACCACTTGGTCTTAGCGCTTTATTTGTTTTTAAATTGGAATATATCATTATAGTAATGGATCAGAATTATTAGAATTGCAAAAACGTGCACCTGCATTGTAGAATTTCCTAAAAGAACATAATAAACGTGTTCAATAGTTTTTACCTTATAAATTCTCTCGTTTCTGTCTGGGCTCGTCTGTTCTGGCAAAATTATCACTATTTTTTTGTCTTTTAGTCACTGAATCAAATAATTATTTTCAAGAATTGCTATATAAATTTCACATGAAATTAAATTTGCTTATCCAACTGTCCACACCGAGATGTAAATCGACACTAACTAGTATTAAACCCGACTTATTTCGATTGAATGACAAATTGCAATGCATTGTCAATGCGCACATGTTTATAAACTCCGAAAACAAACAACCGTTATGAAGAGTGACCGAGAAATAAATTTTGCATTTGATATAAACGGAATAAAATAGTAATATAACCTTTTAAAATCGTATTGAAGTATGAAAGATTAGATTAATGTGGTTCGAGGATTTTAAATCTATATTCTGGTAAATTATTCAAATTAAATAGTTTTATCCTTATCTGTTCTTTGAATAAAACATACCCTTATGTTCTTTTTGCCTAAAATCATATTGGGCATCCAATGCGATAAATTGTCTTCAATCTTACATTTTGTCCAAAATATAAAATGCTAACGTTATCTATCTTCATTGAATACAAAATAAGCTCATAATCAAATCAGGATATGAAATTCTAAACTATCAGTTAAAGATTATAGGTTTTTAAAATAAACTAAGATTTTAATATAAATATTAACAATACCATTTTCATACATGTTTTATGGCTATAACTCGAATAAATATCTTCTCATAATTTTATCAAATGTTAATAATTTTTTTTTCATTTATATTCATCATACTTTTTTGCTTTATTTATGTTTCATATACAATCAAATTGAAATAAATTTATATTAAAGTGTTAATTAGGATTGGTATTCATTGATAGAACAGCACTCTAATAAAGGAATAAGACGTATAAATTTATTTCAGTCTGATGACTTAGATTAAAATTTTATGAATTAATAAACTAATAATGAGTCAATTTTTTCTCATTAAGCAATTGCAAAAATTACTGACAAATTTAATTTTAATATATTCACAAATATCTGAATTGTATGATATGCACCGGAAGTGGTTTGTTTTGGAAGCATACTATATCTTTGAAAGTACTCCATCGGCACTTTTGTTGATCAGACTTACATAAAAATCATAAATTACGCTAGAAAAATAAAATTGCAATTAAATTAACATTCTTTATAATACTAATGGTACTAGATGTTATTTAACAGTTGTAACTGATATTGGGATTAATAAAGAATTAAAAAAAAATTATATTCTGAAAAAAAATCGGATTCAAACCCCATTCTTAAAATTATCTCGATGATCCCAACATTGCTAACTTGCAGCTAATTACTATAATTTCATAATAAAATTATTTCTAACCTATTTATTATTTTATTCAGGTATTTATATTCCGAAAATATTGAAACTTACAATCATGGGATGGAAAACATTAGCCCCATGTCCGTGCGATATGCGACAGGAGAAGGCCAAGAACGATATATGACACCAACTGAACATGCTGAGGGCCAAATATTGCTGACAAGATCATATGAAACAGGACCTCAGTTCGAGCATCCTTCGCCACTTATATCTGGTTAGTAGAAAAAATCATAAGTACCCAAAAGGTACTACAAAACTAGCTTAGAGCATGTTTTTGTTATGTAATAACGTATGTCTTGTGGTTTCTGCAACATGTTTTCGTTTATAAACTAGTCGAATCCTAAAATTTATGGGACGATTCTGCCACACAACAAACCAATGTTATGGCAAGGTCATGTTACGCTGCAACTTCCATACATCATGCTTCTGAATTCTTTTGAATACTATCAAAATGTCATGTATTTGTTGTGCATTCAGGCGTTTTACTAAACTGCAACGTCACTCGTATGTTATGAAGCTGAGTCAGAAAGACCCTGTTATCTAAGATCGTAGTTTTGACATTTGTGCGGTTTCTAGGTTAGGTTTTCTATCTGACAACCTGAGAAAAACGCTTGACTGTACAGCAACCACATGGCTTTTATCAATATTTAGAGCAAATTAGTATGGAAAGTTTTTCATAAGATAGCCTTGCCATAACATTTGTCTGTTACGCGGCAGAATCGGTCTAGTAGTAGTTAGTTTAGTAGAAAACTCATTTTTTTCTGCAGAAATTATTTTATATATGATATTCTATAATATTGACCAGTAGTGGTAAAATCGTGGTCTAGCAAACACTCCAGTTTTCGTCCTAACTTCAGCGAAGCTTGACATCAAGCAGCATGATGTCTTACTTTCACTTGAGGTTATAGATCTCAAAAATAATCTCAAGTAAAAATCGTCTACATATAAAAAATGTCAAGTCAAAAAATACTATTAAGTATAATCGTTCACGTCAGAAATAGGTTAAGACAACTACTGGGGTGCCATCCAAACAAGCTACATGAAAAAATGTAAAAAGCTGAAATTGAATGCCCTTATATTATAAGATGTAATTTAAAAAATATTAAAAAATCTGTAAGATGTGAATTGCAATTAATAGAATGTATTTTTTCCCAGCGGTTACAACACCTCCTTTGAATGCAGTGCATCCAGAAGAGTTGCATATGACTTATGCAAGTTCTCCTGCAGGCGAAATCAAGTACGAATTATTGGCCGACAGTAAAGGGGCCACTTCAGTTTATACTGATTTAACACCTATGCCGCAGCAGTCGAAGCAGGTCCAGATGCAAATTGGACCAGCAGGCAGGGCAACTGCTGGCAGTTACGCGGAACAAGGAAGCCCCCAACATGTAAGTAGGATAAAAAAATAATAATTCATTTAAAAAAGAATCAAATACAGTTAATTTCAAAATTGGAACCAAACCAAATCAGAATACTAATCATAAATTATTAATTGATTTTTCTCTTTGATAGTACCAATCCAGTGGAAGTTACATCACAAACTACCCTGGTCAATATATTCATTCTCGTACTGACGACAGTCCAACATCTGCCCAACATCAAATCATGTACAAAGGTGACCCAAGTCTCAACCCTGGAACTAAACAATTGTTCTATGTTCCTGAAAATGGAACATACGAAAGTCAACCACCAGGATCACCAAACTCCCATGTAAGTTGATAGATAGTTAAATTTATAGTCATACAAAATTATTACAATTCTTATCTTATTATAATTTACTATGAGGATAAAAATTCTTGTTATTATTTAGGTGACTTTGTACAGCGGTGGAAATCAATCGTATCGATTTGGAGCAAAAGCCGATCCTGGACAAAATTTTATTTGGGTCAACAGTGCTCAACCAGTAAGTGCATCATCAGTGGAATATGGTACAGGAACTTATTTGCAGCAAGGATCCTCGGAATTGCTCCAAGAACCGCCAACCCATGTTTATACAAGTTACCCGATAAGCGGGTCGGAGTGGGTTGTTAATGATAATTTTGATGGTGAGAAAAAGAAAATATTATTTCAAGAAACAAAAATTAATTCATAAATTATGATCAAATCATTTTAAATAAAGGTCTAGACTGGTCAAGACTAGAAACACAATACTAGTACGGAACTGATAGTACCATCTCTTACCATAAAAGCATTATGCTCTTGGTTTTACTTTTCATACATTTTTACTTGGAAATATGTATATTTATTATTATTATTTATATGGAATTAAAATTACAATAGAAATATAGTAATATATTTTTCATATGTTACAGTTATCATTTATTCTTTATATAATTATTGTATTATTTTTAGGTGAAAATATTTATGTCCAAAATGTGAAAGAATGTGTGAATTGTGCGGCCTCTGTAACGCCTCTGTGGCGCAGGGACGGAACAGGGCATTATTTGTGCAATGCATGTGGATTGTATAATAAAATAAATGGGGTCAACAGGCCCCCAGTCAGGGGACACAAAAATAAACCATCTGCGGTAAGTTTATTATAAATAAATCAAAAATGTATTATCAAAAATATTGTGCAAAATTCTGTTATCCCAAATTCAGAGACTTTTTAATACCAAAATACAATAAATGATAGGTTATTTGTAATTTAATAGTATTTAGTATTTAATTACTACATATTTGAAGTAAAAAATTTATTAAAAATCACGCTTTATAGACCCATCGAAATTAATTAAAATGCTTACTATTATTTTTTAAATCAATAAAATTAAAACAAGAAGATATTTATACGTTTCAGAGGTTTCTGAACATTTTGAAAATTTCTGAAAATGGATGTATGTGTGTATGTGTATGTGTATGTACGTGTGTGTGTGCGGATACAATTTTTTAATCTAATTTTTCAAAAAAGTCAAATTTTGTCAAATATTTCAAAATTTCTAAAAAATCTAAGTTTTGCACAGTTTTTTTATTAAATTTAGTTTTCGATACGGATGTTCCAGCAATTTGCCTCAATGCTCAATGCCATGAACCACTAGTTTCATTTATCATCGACCTTCAATAATTAAAGCTTGTCATATCCTAATCAAGATTTTTACCAATTCATAACGTTTTCGAAGAATTGCGTCTACTACTAATAAGAAATTTACGGTTCTTACAATTCCGACAAGAAAACGCGTGTTTACTTAACAAAGGTGCGGTCGTCGTTTTTCTATTGTCAAATGTGGCCCAGATATTTAGGAAATACCAGACAGACAGAATGGAAAATATTTATTCTGACGAGTAAAATTATTATTGATTTTGAAGTGTAATGATCTTTTTTTCTGTTAACACTTATAGTGAAAATAACACATTTCTGATGTACGTGTTAACGTTAATAAACGATTTAAGTTTATTGTATGTTTGCCTAATTTATAGATGTAAGTCTACGCAAATTGTTTTATATGTTACACATATAATATTAACATGATAAATTAACATGTTTATTCATTAAAACTTGAAATTGCTCGTGAAACTAATGCAGTAACGTGTGTTAACTTTTTTTTTAATTTTATTTGGCCTTGCTTAATCTGAGCATTTAGCCACCTACAACATTTTATATATTCATATTCTATATTATTTTTTATATCATATTCAATATTATATATTTGATTCTATATTTTTATTCTTTTTTAATTTCTTACAATTATTTTCTTCAATTCGTCATTCTCTCTCTCTCCAATTCTTTCTCTTTCATTTCAAATTTATAATTCTATTCAACTCCTAATTTCCCTCCATTTTATTTCTTCATTCTTTAATCTCAGCCAGTTCTAGTATTTTTTAATATTTGAAGTAAATGAATTATACCGACTTATACAAATACCGGCCCCGCAGTTAACTAACAGTCCTAATATCGAGTACTAGTACCCGCCCCGCACAAAGTATGTTAAATAATTTTTTGAAAGAATGAAAAATTTTAAAATAAATTTTATTTTGTTTGAATAGATATTTATAAATTTCAAAGTAGAACAAAAAAATTATATTGTAGAAAAAACGACCCAGTCAGACTTGGGTTCACAATCCAAAGATAATTGTCAGAGAAATCTATCGACCATCTTTTGAATTATAAAAGTGGATTATATGAAATGATACTTTAAACATTAAATACTTTAATGAAATGATACTTTAAACAATGAATAGTTAACATCATAAATATCAATCTTGAAATAATTACAATTTAAGAAGAATCTCCAAAATCAGAAGACTTTGTCACTGATTGTGCACTCATTATTAAGGACATTATTTTTTATACCTCCATTACCGTGCTTCCATCATTGGTTTTAATATAAGAAAATAATTTTTTATGTATTTCAAATTGGCAAAATTTTCTTTTTATTTATTATAGTCTGGAAATAGTCGTCGTACTGGTGTAGTTTGTGCAAATTGTAAGACAACCAATACTACTTTATGGAGAAGAAATCATTCTGGAGAACCAGTGTGTAATGCTTGTGGATTATATTATAAACTGCATAATGTAAGTATGAGTATTTTAAAGTTATAATTAATTTTTTTTATAATCAAAGTGTTTTGAAGTATAATTTTCAAATATCATATGAAAGGTAGCAGTAAAAGTGTACTTAAGGAACAAATAAGCAATGAACCATTCAATATTAGATGAATTATTTTATAAGAAATTAAATAACCATATTGTCTATTAACTTGTAATAAAAAGATAGTTTTTAATGTGTATATATTCAATACAGGTTGATCGACCAATGAGTATGAAAAAAGAAGGAATTCAAACGAGGAAACGCAAACCAAAAACATCTTATAATCATGGCAAAGCACATAGTTTAGGTGAGATTTTATAAAAAAAATGATAATAATAATAAAAAATGAGTTAAAGCTGAGTTAAACTCCAACTCGATTCAGGGAAAAATAGTGTGAGAGATTTTCTATTGCCATTTCACACAGCAGTGCCTGAAATGGGCTTATTTCCAACGAAAGCCCAAAAAAATTGATATTTAACAATCATTCAGAACACAATTCAGTTAATTGAAATAAATTTTATTCTTGTTCATAGTGCAATTTCAGAAAATGCATTAAAAACCTGCTTTAATTAACCACAAAAAAATCTAATAGCTTTAAACTTCAAGAATACATTAAATACAATTTAATTATTAATTCAAGAATAAACATTTTTATTGTTGACTTTGACATTCCTACAGTAATAGTTCTTTTCGAACAATATTGGATTATTTTTTCAAATGAAGTTTCTGCATAGAATTCCTAATATTCAGTGGAACTATTTTGTTCACATTACTACACAAGTTCAAAAATAATATCCCAAACATTAGATTCATTATTTTAAATTTTAATGATTTCATAAATTGTTAAGGGTTTGTGAATGTCTAGCTGTACCATAAGGAGAATAATAGCTTCAACAAAATTATTCACACTTATTTAAATCATTTACTTATGTCTTTTCTGGCCATGTCTTTTCTGACCATGAAATGAAATAATGTAGCATTATTAATTTAATTATTACTGCATAATTTTTCAGATTCAAAAATTAATTTGCAGCAATCTTTGTACATCACTCAGAGTGATATAAAACCGGATATATTAGTCAGTACCAACGGTGGACATTACTCCTTAAATTCAAGTTGTCCTTCTCCCATTGGTTCAGCACAGACATCAGCTCACCTTTCTACGCACATACCTTTGTGAGTAAAAAGATTTGTTAATAAAATGAAATAGAATTTATTTCTAAACCTTACTTTCACCATTCAAACAAAAAAAAAATCTTTTAGTCCAGCATTTAATGTATTGGTGAAGTTGGTAGTTATTTTGTGGATCAAGTTGACCAAGTTGATTAAGATTTATTATTTTGCCTATTATAGTGATTCTTTTTGCGCAAATTATTCTTCTTTATCGATTTGATAAAAAATAGTATTAAATATAAACAATTCTCAGACAAAAATTGTCTTTTACAGAATCCAGCAGCCGATGGAACAGATAGTTTCCAGGGTAACCACAAGTGCAGATTTACCCAGTGTCATCACATCCACGGGGATTTCTTCGACAATGGCCGAAAGTACGAGGAATTAGGATTTATTTTTTGAAAATTATATTATAAATAAATATATAAAACAATACAAGAGTGAGTAAACAAAGTGCTTATTACTCTTGCTCGAATTATTGATAAATTAAAAATATTTTTAGAGTAGGAATATGTATGATTAGGGTATATATGAGAAAGTAATATAAAGAACTGACGTAGAGGAACTATAGAAATAATTATATTATAGTTTATAATTTTTATGTGAATTTGATTTATAGTTTAGTTGTAATCATATAAATTTCTGTGCCTTGGATAAAGGCTTAATAATAAAATATTTAATTAATTTGTATACATATTCCGTTAAAAACATAAAATTCACTTGACCGCGAATTTGAATAAGTTCTAAATAGACAATTTCTAAGACTCGAAAAAATTAATAAAATTGAAGAAATTACAGCAATAAAATAAACTATAACATACTACAGGCAAATATACAGGGATTATGTATTAATTGTAATTATTAAAAATTATTTATGATTTTTTTATTATTTTTGAAGTACGAACTTAGCCATCAGCATAAGTTATTTTCATATTTATATTACTATTCTCAATTTAAATTGATAATTGTGCTCAAATTAAATTATAATTGTGCCATCGTTTTTATGGGATATTTATTTCATTTGCTTCAGAAGATGTGCTATTCTCAATTTAGATTAATTAAAAAATATTAAAATTTATATTTATATATGCAATTTAGTTTGATTTACAACCATAGTGTTTTTCTTCCTTTTTTCCTGTATTTTTTAATTACTAATTAATTTCAATCCGTGTATGTAAATTATAAATATTAATTATAAATTTTAAAGCTTTTATTATTTAACCAAAGAAATGGATGAGTAAAATATAGTCTAACAAATCCATGGACAAATTTAATACATTATGGTATATATTCCATATTTAGTTTAATAAAATAATAATCATCCTATTACATGGATTTATAGTCTATTTTAATTATGTTTTATAATAAAATTTTATTTATAGTAAAATCATTGAAACATTTTCAAACCATTACTGTATATTATAATTCATAAAATTCTTGCCTACTTTTATATAAAATATTTAAAACATGTAACTTTCAATATTAAAATATTCCAAGAGTACATGTATGAAAATATTTTGTAGAAACGTGTGTAGCACTAATTAAAATTAAAAATGATTAATACCATAACGATAAGAAAACTTAATTATTAAAAATAGTCCAACAGTGCAATTTATTACAGATTTTTATGATAAAAATGGTAATAGCTTGTTATAATATTAATAACAACCCAGTAGGAATAATATGTATATTAATAAATAATTTAATATAGGTCACAAAATATATGTCAATAATTATAAAAAAATTTAACAAAATGTTTTAGCTATGGAAAATATTATATTTTAAATAAGTACATGACTATGAATGTTTAAGAGTTGATAGTGTAGTAAAAAGTATAAATTTAATTTATTTTAGGGTTAAGTCAATTCTTTGTGAAAATATTTGTTAAATTTGAGTATTAATTTAAGTTAGTTTTATTATATCCGTGGCTAGTCAACGGAACCAAAAGAATTTTTTGTTTACATGTATGAAGAATGTAATCATAAATGAATAAAGTTATGTGTGAATAAAGTAAATGGTTTTAAAAAACTGCAAAAGCACTTCTATTTTTTCGCAAAATTTATAATCATCAATGGGGTTTATAACCATCCAATTAAGTTGTACTATTTATTAATTTATAAACAAGTTGCAGTAGGCCATTTATCAATATTTCTGGCTGTAAAGTATTGTATCTTTGTTGTATTTTTTTAAATGCATGTATCTTTTTAAATGCAATGATGAAGAGTGCAGAAAATAGAAATTAATTTAATGAGAGAGCAGACTATCCGATTTGAATGATTCAAAAATCATTTAATTTGTAATGATAGGAAAAAGAGGTGAAAGAGTTTTTGGCAAAGCCAGGTCCAGCCGTTTAGGAGATAGGGAGTTAAATAAGCAAATAATTGTGGTTTTTAAAGGAACGAAGTATCTGATTTGAATGATTCAAGAAACATTGCGTTGACAGTATAAAGAAACTATTAGTTTTTGGGAAACACAAAAAAAAACATTTATAATAAAATTTTTTTTAAATATCTAATATAATACAGGTTTTAATTGTAATTATAGCTAAAATGTTAAAAAGCTCACAATATAAGTAATTTTGAAAATACTTCAAATAAATTATTGTAATTTTGCTATTCAATTTATATAATTTCTAAAACTATGAGATGAAATTAAGCTTCGCTTTATAAAGTTTTGTTTTTTTTTTTACTTTTCACGTAAACTTACTTAAATATTGTCATCCAATTTACAAGCTCTTACATTTAATCTATAAAATACAAATGAAAAAAGTTACAATATTAATAATAATCTAATCGAGAACTTTTATTATTTTTTGAATATCTTAGTTCCGGAAGTTCCAGCAATTTGCCATAAGGCACGATGCCATGGACTACTAGTGTAGTTATAATTTTAGTTAATAATAAACATTGTTCGTGATATTTTAAAACTTGCTATATCACCTTGAGCAAAAAACGACCTAAATGATATAAAGAAAAATATTTCTAAAAAACCGAAATAAATAAAGCATCAATGTATCTTTTAATCGAAATTGTTATGTTGAACATTATATCGTTTTTAATTGTTAGAATAAATTGTTCAATATATAGACACATAAACGTTTAAACTTGGTTATGTAAAATTTTGTGTAAAATTTATTAATGATTCTGTTCTACTTTGAAAGTTATTTTCATATAAAATGTATGATTATTCTCTCTGCAAATTATTACAGTCATAACTCAGTTAAATGGTTTATTCACTTGATACTGATGCACGACCAAACTAAATGAATAATGTAATATCCAACCAACATGCAAAACTTCACTTAAAAATGCATTAATTTTGAATTAAGAATGTAAAACATTATATTTGTATAAAAAAATTATATATTTTCATAAATTGCTAAATAAATTAGAATTCTTTATTTTTGAGGAAATACCGACGACGGTTTAATTACTTTGTAAGAATTTTATGGTATAATAAAATTGTAATTAAATAAAAATATTTATCATTATTCAATTTTTTCAAGATGTAAAATATAGTTTTTTAACTTCCCGTAGGGCAAGTTATAGTAATCGCAAAAAATCGAAAATGAAAATTTTTATATATCTTTTCAAATCAAATCAAATTTTTATGAAGGCAGGTCTAACGGTTTCGGAGATCTGATGAAAAAAGTAAAAAAAAATGCCATTTGGCGGTCAAAAATGATCATTAGACATATGCACATCAAATTATCAGATATTTTATAGAGATTTTAACAATAAGTATAAATTTTTTTTACATTCCTATGGGTTCCGTACCAATGTTTACGCGTTAGACGGCGACGCGGCGCTTACGCGCTTTGATATTTCGTCTTTAGGCAGTTAAAGCAGTGCGATTGCTTTGAAAAAAAGTTTAGATCTTCCAAAATATGTCAAAATAAAATGAAACTTTTTTTTTTCAAAAAAAAATAAAAAAAAAAATATTTTTTAAAAAAAAATTTTTTTTTTCAAAAAAAGTAATTTTTTCTCCAATATATATTTTTTCAAAAATCTTATTTTTTTGAAGTAAAATTTTTTCAAAAATCTTAATCGTTTTTAAAAAAAAATTTTGGTACGGGAAGTTCCAGCAATTTGCCTTAAGGCACGATGCCTTAATTGCCTTAAGACAGAATTCCACTTACAGCTAGTTCATATTTACTTGATAGAGCCTATCTCCGAAACGGCTGGAAATGTCTTTGCCAAAAATTAATCAGCACGTCTCCCCATGAGTAGGAGTCAAAATATGCCAAAACGTTCAGAAACCTTTGAAATGTAAAGATATGCAAACAAATTTTATTTTCGATTTTTGGGCGAAAACTTAATTAAATATTATGAGCAGTATTGAAGTATATTATATATAACGTTTTCCAAACTATGGGGACGTTCAAGTATTACGTAAGCACAATAGGGGGGCGGGGGGGTTGTTGATTTGTTTATTTTACATTAATTGCAAAATGTTTACGTAAGCATGGGGGTAGGGGGTAAGAGCTTTGCTTACTTTTGCTGACAAGGGGGATGGGGGGGGGTAAATAATTGTAATAAATCTGCTTACGTAATACTTGAACGATCCCTATGCGCATTTATTACGCCAGAAGCAAATACATACATACAACCTTGTAAATGCTATACAGCTTCAAATACAAATGGTATATACAAAAAAATTCAAAATTATTAAAAACCATATGTCGCCATAACCCATAACCCTAAACATTAAACATCAAGTACCTTCTGTCCTCAGTAGCATAGTATTTCATAACTCAGTCATTTTACTCAGTATCAGATCGCTGATGAACTTTCCTAATTTATATTTTATCCCTTTGTCGGCTTCTGGTTCCACTCGTTCTCTTATATTAGTCGAATACCAAATACTAAAAAGGCATATGTCCACTTTCCAGGCGCCACCGAAGCCGGGCGCCAGCGTATGCTCTACTCTACACGCATATCTACTCATCCCGACATTGGATTTTCTGATATGCTGATATCATTGACTTATTAACGACAATGATGGTATAAAATGTAAGCATACGGTTTGAAATAAAGTGCACTGACATAACGTACGGGACTGGGGATGTATTTGGAATTTTAGAAAAAAAAAATTAAGTTAATTAATATAATATATGTTCATTACTATATTTGCATGATGTATTTTTTTTTTATTATCTCTTTTATTTACAACTGTCCAGTAAAGGACATTCAATAAATTTGATGAATTTACAATAGTCGGCCGAAAAGGGACATCGTATTCTACAAGGGCATGTTGGAAAAAACAACTCAGTAGTTGTGTAGGAGCTCCTAAGGCAATTTTCAAAAATTTGTTTTGAAATTTCTGTATAATTTCTATATTAGTCTTATGATCACTGCCCCACAATTGCATACCATAACACCAAATTGGTTTGAATAAAGATTTATATAAAAGTAGCTTATTGATGAAACAAACTAGTTGCAAAGCATTTTGCCCGATACGTATCAACTTATGGGCCGATCTTGCCGCATAACAGTCCAATGTTATGGCAAGGCCATGTTACGCTCCAACTTGCATACATTATGCTGATGAATCAT